GAATACATTGGTATCGAAGGAACCAGATTCTGTTCCGAAATATCACTTACTCGAACCGTCCTGGCCGCGTAGCTCAGTTGGAAGAGCATTGGGCTAGTATTCCAAAGGTCGTAGGTTCGAATCCCACCGTGGCCGGGCATATTTTTCAAGCTCGCCCGGTGTGGATATACACTCAGAGTAACACCACAAATTATCATATTCACCTGAGTACACTACACCAACACAGAAAACATTCATATTACTAGAATACATTGGTATCGAAGGAACTAGATTGTGTTCCGAAGTATCACTTACTCGAACCGTCCTGACCGCGTAGCTCAGTTGGAAGAGCATTGGGCTAGTATTCCAAAGGTCGTAGGTTCGAATCCCACCGTGGCCGGGCATATTTTTCAAGCTCGCCCGGTGTGGATATACACTCAGAGTAACACTACAAATAACAAATGCACATGTATTATGCATAGCTACAATCCTTCAAAATCGTGCCGAGAATATTACTAAGAGCTACCTCTTCTTCGGTTGTTTGACTGCTAACTCTCATAAAGTCGACCTTGGCCCAGATCAGTAATTCGATACGAGACCGGATGAAATCGAAAGCGAATTATTCTACTACGAAATTTGTCAGGCAATTAATTTAATTTACGCGGCAAAATGGCAAATCTTACAGAAATTTATCCTCAAATTCGTCCTGCACCACACAAACATCTTGTTTGAACTCGTACAGCGAAATCTTGCTGATAAAACCCATATTATAGCTAACTGATATTCAACTGTAGTTGAACCTCATCTGCATGAACGAATTAGCTATTTGCATTATTAAAATATTGCGAGCGCTTTATCTCGCCAAAAATTGAATTGTATCGCATAGATTGCAGTTTCAGAATGAATTTAAATATTTAATTTTCTATATTAGCCCAAAACATAACCGATTTTCATATATTTTCATCAGCATCCACATAAATTCTAAAAGTATTATATATATATTAAAATCATACAGCACATCAATAACTCGATAGCCCTAAGTAAATATTTGGAAATATTAACATTATTTATATTATGTGCGGCATGCAGGAAGGTGTTTGCAGGCATTTCCTTAAGTAAAGTGCTGAAACGGAAGGCAAAAAACGCATATATGAATGCTATATTCATGCAACATTAATAGTTAAAGTAATGCTATAGCTATAGCTACAGTGTAGTTATACCTAGTACAAACCTCCTATACAAAGCTGTTTTTTAAGTATAACGGGACTCCTGAAAGCACCATGAGAATACTTTTTGAAGCCATTGTCACAATTGCCTTGTTGTCGATAAGCACTAATGCTGTAAGTACGTATTTTACAAGTAACACAAAGTATTGTTTTCTAATTTTTCGAGGTTACTACAGATATACGATATAGCACTGCATTCATAGTTGGGCTGCTAGCTTGAGGGTAATGATTTTTCTCATCAAATTTTAATTTTTAATGTTCCCCACGATTACTCGTCGTGTTTGACTTGTTTGTATCAGCGATCCTTCCAACATTAAACTAATTTAAAGCACATGCATGCAAGTAGTGTGATCGGTCATATCCTTTGTGGTTGTTCACGGATAAAGTTTTCATATTCGTAATGATTGTGTAACGGTGTTGAATATATATTCTAATTATGAAAATGTTGCACTTCGCATGGTTGGTGTAACTATATGTCCCACTATCTGTGGTGGAATGCGGATTACGAGGTTTATAGATTTCTATATATCGCTGTGCCAACGTGAATTAATCTATTCATTACCTTCAAGTTATATATATATATATATATATATATATATATATATATATATATATATATATATATATATATATATATATATATATATATATATATATATATATATATATACTCTATTTATTTCATTTGAATTGTAATAATCGTATGTACACCGTTCATTCCCTTTCTCTTTATGTTTTACGTTATGCATTAAGTCAATATTTCTCCAGCTGCATGCTATTACACTCATTTTGCGCGTTGAAACTATACATCAGTGTTAACTATGTAAGTTCATGGAATGTGTGCATGAACACCAATTAACTCGATGTAAATTAGCGCTGTATAGTGTAGGTCTTCCTACACTGCTAAGACCAATACTGATTTGCTACTATACGAACCTGTTGTTTCGACACCAATTTTATATTATAATATTATGTTATTTAAAAAAGTACTGGTGTCGTTTTTTCCAAGTATTCGTCGGCTTGTGCAAAAAAGACCACGAATATTCCACGTACACGACGCGAGAATGATGTCTGACTAAATCAACTTCCAATGTTACTAATAACTATAAGGAGCCTCCTTAAGCTTAACAAATGACAGTGTTATGCGAGATAGTGAACAGAACATGTGCATAATTACCATTAATTAATGCACAATTAAAATGTAATATTTTCCTTTGTCTAAAGTTGTGGGAGAAACACCTAAACAGTGAACAATCAGTCTGAGCCATATAAACACAAAACAGTTTCTTTCAGACACGTTAATTAAGAAAAAGCGTACCTGTAAAGCAGCTGCGCACCTGCGAAAAAGCGTACACAGTGACTTAATGCCTTTCCTAGAAGAGTAAAATTGCATGGCTGACATGTAACTATACCAAAATAGAGCACATATGGAACATTTACAGTTTAGTTGGCTCTTTTTCATTATTTTTGCACAATCGTACACAAGATTTGATCTTAATATCATTAAGAGAAGACTCGTGCGCGTTAATCCATTGTTAATAATACGAGTATATAAAACAGGTGTAGCAGAATAATTTGGACATTTAATGGATTAATGTGTCCAAATTATTAAAAGTAATATATATAGCCTAAAACCACCAGTCATTAATCTGTCTACGCGCGTGAATTATTGCATGTATTCCTGGCTGACAATGTGCTTCAAGGCATATGAGGCGATAATACAAAATGTAGATTTTATTAGTTAAACTTGCAAAGGAAACATTTTCATGTTTTTAACATGAGTTCGACTTATTTCGACAGTACTGAGTTTCATGGGTATTTGCGGAACTGCAAACACTCAAAGGTAACTGTAACCCACATGCCTGGTTAACTATCCTATATCACCTGCATATGCATCATGCTGCTTAAAAAATCCTATCAGTAAAATTTCGAAAATTGCCGCTATACGTGACCAGGGGAGCATATTTCGTCTCAAAACCGTGATAAACGGCTGTACATGCATACATATAATCATATATGGATGCATTTTAAATTAATTTGTGTATATTTCAACAAGTCATCGTTGCTTTCTTCTTCACCATATTCATGCATAAGATACATGCATGTACACTCTAAAATCTCTTTTAACGCCCTCTCTTCTCCCGCCCGCCTAAACGCCTGCTAGACAGGCTAAGTAATTAAAGGTGGACCCAGATTTTCCGGTGGACCAGAATAGGCCAGAAATGTCATTATTTGGATTTAAGAGAATTCGGTCAATTTTAACCTGCGATTTAATGTGATTCAAAGCATGGTGAGATCCAAAAGTAGGCCTTTTAAAATTTAAATTTTGAGTTTTTTTTTATATAAACTACAAATTTGTAAAACTACAAATACACTGAATTTAAAATAAAAAAGTGTATATATAAGCAACATTTTTAAACGGCTACTATTAAAGATTAAACAATATATCAATGTAAATTATAAATCGTTTATCGCATTGCTCGGGGATTACGCCGCTTTTATAGCTTATTTAAAAATACAAATTTACACTGAACTGTGTACTAACAAATATTTTTGCTTTCTTACCAAGACGCTGTGTAACCAGAAGACTGCAGCGGTGTATAATGCTAGACTGAGAAATCGTAGTGATCGATATCCTCGAATGGTGTTAGTAAATTCCGTGTAACACTTACGCCTGTATTCTAAAAACTCACTCACACTCAATGAGTGGAGGTTGAATTGGAGCTTTTCTCTAGTGTCATTTCTGTTTTTGAATAGCTGGGTGGTGAGTTCCGTTCCGTACTATGTGATTACTCGCCCTCCAGCTATTCAAAATCAGCATTGACACACAAAGGAAGCTCAGATTGAACCTCCACTCATTGAGTGTGAGTGTGAGTGAGCTTTTAGAATACGGGCGATAATGTTTGTTACGTACTAATTTTAACGCAACACTGCAAGTGAGATACTCAGATTTAATAATAGTAAAACGAGGAAAATTGGTTTCATTATAGGCGTTTTATTTGAGGTCCATAGGTTATAAATTTAAGCTAATTGATAACGGTTTCCCATAAAATATTCGAAATCATATATAGGGAACAAGAGCATAATTGTACCCACACAAATTAATTAGCATTCAAATTCTATTCCTGCTTCCCAACACACAAATTAATTATAATGAGCATTTTTTTCCAGCTTTAATTTATTTTTTGAAGGTAAATCCTCACGATCCCGGAGTATGCGACGCAAAGTCGAGAGGTAAAGAAATTGTTGTCAAGGACCGATATGATAACGACCAACTCGTGGTGTGTCTGGAACAGGATGGAAAATATAAATGGCAGATGCTAAAAGGTATAGCTTTCTACTTTGACAGCTGCATACGACCTTAAATTCTAGATCTATAAATTCTGGAAGTGTCTGTTTAAAACAGAATTTTTGAATAATCAGAACAAACGATCCCAGCTGTTAGTATAAAACGGTTAACGTCCAATGATGAGTTTTCAATAAAATCGATATGTCACAGACTCGTGTCTCTACTCTTGTTTTGACTAATCTTGGATTTTTCACGATATTGTTTTTCTGGACGCTACACTTGCCTGTACAATTTTAAGTTGTAAAGTTATTTGAGGTACAAAAATAACTATTTACTGAGACCGATGGAATTAATGTGTTTTGTGGACCTGAGACCACCGTTGGTCAAGGGGAACAACGGCGGTCGAAGGGCCACAAAACACATGCACTGCTCTACCGAGGTCTCAGTAAATAATATATAGTATATAATTGTCAATTGAGTATGAATAATTCACCGGTTATTGGAGTGAACTTTGAAACCAAAACTAGATAAATGGAACGCCGTAAATGTTTAATAGAAAAAGACAGTTTAATAAAATGAACTTTGGAACTTCACGGTTGACGCGCGCTGCACCCATTCTATTATGTACTGGTCAATAAATGTTCTATTACGGACTGGTTGCCTCGTTGCCAGGGCGATGCATTAAACACGACGTTTTGCGGACCGGCACGTGATACACTTTTGTCCAATTGGAAAACAGAAAAATTGAACTTTGACACTATATAACAATGTACATGGATTAAAAAAAAAAGAAAAGTAAAATAAATAAATAAAACACAATAAAACACAGAATAGGCTCCGGCCGGTGTAAATAAAGGACATATTGCACCGCCCGATTAAGATTGCACTCTACAACACGTGTATGAAAATGTTTTCGTCTTTTACACAAAAGAAGGAACTGCTTTGAAGAAGTGTAAAGTTACACTGGTATTGAGTTTAATTAAATCGAGTTTCAATATCTTAAGGTTTTAGTTCTGACAGAGCATTACTGCAGAATTTTAAGAGTAAAGGATATAGGCGACTTTTTCCCTTTCGTGAAAGAAATATTCGTTCTACTGTATATACCCTAGACATTCAATGATTCATACAAATTCCCACTGATATTTCCAATTATTATATTGTAGTGAGTGAGATACTGAAAAAATACACAGCGAGATATTTTCCATATCTTCACTAGTAAAGATATCGATCACGTGACAATTCGAAAATTTGCTTTTGAGCGTGAAATTTCACAATTTTTTTGCTTGGGACTATCTAATAAACAGAACATTATACTGTGGCTTGAAGATATGACTTTTATCTTCTCATGTTAAAAACAATATTTTACTCACTCGCTGCGCTCGTTCGTAAAATATTGTTTTCTGCACCAGTCGAAGATAAAAGTCATATCTTCGCACCGCCGTATAATATCCTCTATATGTTACTGTAGGTCATTCCTATGGGAACTTTTTTGATCCAGCAAAGGATTGTTCCGATGTCGTTGATAATGTTCGTAATGCAGAAAGTGGCCCTTACTGGATAAAGACAAGGAATAAAAGTCCGAGAAAGGTATGGGATTAGTGGTAATAACTTTAAAGTGCTGAATAAGAAACCAGGACCATATAGTATTGTCTTGTCTACTTAAAATGAAATAAAATCGCAACTCCGAGTTTCACGTTTTTCACGATCCTTATGCAACGATGTAATGTTCAACTAGAATTGAATTCAGCTTGGAAAATAATTTTGAAAATTCTAGACATCCGGTTTTTGCAATTAATGACATAATGATGACGTCACAATTTGTTACCATGACAACATAAGGTCATAATATGCTTAAACAAGGCATACCATGATTACCATCCACCTGTAAAAGTTTCGTCAGAATACACCGAATGGTTCAAAAGATATCGCCCGCGGCTATTCCCTCCCCTTCTATGTAAGTCCCAAAATGCCCCGTCTAGATTAAGGGTTAAAGCCCGCCGCACACGAGAGCAACTTGTTGAGCTAACCGTCTCGCGTGGCAGCTAGCTCAGCAAGTTTCTCTCGTGTGCGGATAGTTTTCGTGAGGATTTGACCTCTCGAGGCCTTGAGGAAAATATCTATCGTGTTTGATATTTTTCGCCTCGCGAGGAAAAAATCTCAGCGTCTGCTGATGTTGTGAGATAAGTGCTGAGCTGTTTGAATCAATTAGCCAATGACAAACCATGGTTTCTTCATGTGACTTGGAACAAAATGGAGGAAAATGCAAATGATTTTGTCAATTATGTTGTTGTTGAGTAGTTTTCCCAACGTGTGCGGTGAAGATATATAGCATGAGCTAGCTCCCTCGCGAGGCGGTTAGCTCAGCAAGTTGCTCTCGTGTGCGCCGGGCTTAACAAATTATACAAATTTTTGCTATGCCTCAGGCTTGGTGTGATGTTGTCACAGATGGTGGTGGATTCATTTTGATCGGGGTCAAAGATACACCAGTGACATGGGCGATCCCTTCCAAACCAACTTACATTGATCCAAATGGTAGAAGCCAGTGGAGCAGTGCATTTGGCGATAAACTAGTACTGGACTTCCGAGTACAAATTTCAACATCAAAAAGCTCTTCCGACACTAAATCCCATTGGTACTGTAGTTTTTTATATATAGCCAATTGTTTCCAATGAAACAACGCATTGTGCTGTTTTTTGTTCATTTTTCGAAAAAAATATTGTTTAGAAGTATTGCAATTTTATGCTGAACAAGTCAAAGGTAAAGTTATTCATGCTGCTGATTTGACAACCCATAGTATAATTTGAAGTTTAACGTTGCATACAAAATCAGGGACGGCGCTACAGGGGGGGGACCCCCCCCTCCACTCGTCAGCAAGTCGGCAAATTATTATCTCAGTCGGCAAAACTGGATTGGCTAAAGATAACCACTGAAGAAACCAAAATTGACTTCCTGAATAATTGAATTCAAACCGAATATCACGACTAGCATGCATCAAAGAAACCACACATGCAGCAATGCAAATTCTTCCTAATTAAAAGTCAGCGATTATAGAATTCGATTCGTAGTTCGATTAATTGAACACATGACGGTGTAAGGTTTAAAAATTGACGGGTATTCCATGTATATACACGTTAGGTGTCTGAAGATCAAATTTCGCGCGTCTAGAGTTAAAATTTGGCTTCAACTTTTGAATTTTCCGGCTGGAGGTAACGTACCAGTTATATTCCGATTTCAATGATTCGTAAATGCGTGATTAATAGTGCTCCAAGAAGTGAAACAGATTTTAAGAAATGCCGAGACGTACCGACCTATGGCGTCATATTTCCGCCAAAATTAAAGATCGTATTTGCAACATTATAGTTCGTATTCGCAATATTATAGTTCGTATTCGCAACATTATAGTTTGTATTCGCAACTATAGTTCGTATTCGCAACATTATAGTTCGTATTCGCAACATTATAGTTCGTATTCGCAACATTATAGTTCGTATTCGCAACATTATAGTTCGTATTCGCAACATTATAGTTCGTATTCGCAACATTATAGTTCGTATTCGCAACATTATAGTTCGTATTCGCAACATTATAGTTCGTATTCGCAACATTATAGTTCGTATTCGCAACATTATAGTTCGTATTCCCAACATTATAGTTCGTATTCGCAAGTTGAATTTTGGCGGATGAAGGTGTCAAAACTCCGCCAAAATTCAAGTTTGTAAATTAAAGTTCATATTTGGAAAAATTCGCTACAAGTGGAAACACTGAAAAGCAACAGTGCTTGGGGCTTGGATTCTCTCATCCAGCTGCGATTTTATACTGTTATCTTTTGGCAATTTGCCTATTAAAAATGAATCAAGACGATACAAATACGGCGAGGGAAGCGCTTTTGCAGGTGGCAGATTGCCTATACGTGTGATTTTAGGCTCCAGTTACACGATACCGGATTCGCATCTTACAACTTTTCATATTTAAAGTTTTTGACTAATTCTGTTATATTATCTACCCTGGATTCCAGAGCCTTCGACAGTAAATAATAAATTGAAACGTCACGAAGGCTCTGGTTCAACGGGGGAGATTCTTTGATTACACCGCGCCAATCACAAAACAGAATTAGTGGTTTTAGTACAGATTCTGTACTATAACTACTATTCTTTCTAACGTCATGTTGAATCCCATGCGCACTTCACAGTGGTAAGGGGCGGACCAATTGATTTTTGAGGGGGGGGGGGGTTGGAAGATTTCGAAAAGAAATTTCCTGCAATCCAAGGAGAAAGAAAAAAAAAATCATGCAGCATATAGACCAATTGCGAAACTTAGTGACCGCGCCTTCAACTGCACGAAAACGAGGCTTATTATGCAAAAACAAATCATTCTGCTATATTTTTATATGGCGAAAAATGAATTTCAGTGTTTGAGACGCGTTTTTATGGTAATCTCTTCATTTTTTTTCAATACTTTTGTTTTGACTATGTAAATCTTTATTTAACTTGTTCATAGATTTAGTCTTACTTCAAATTTCATTGTTTTTTTGCGGCGTGCGAGGCAAAGTTTTGCTGTTTTTCGCCGTCCGTTAAAAGAAGCAGATTATACCAGAGAAAGAATCAGGTATTTTCCGTCTGTTTTATTAATACTTTTCAAAGAATAAGTTGTAACATTGATTAATTTTGTTTCAGTTGTAATATAATAGCAAGTTTTCGATTTTAACTTTAAAAATATGAAAGTAAATGTCGGGCAAAATTTGTAGAAATTTTATGTTATTATCCTTTGACAAAATCTTTTTTTCTCGCACGAAGTCTAAAAAAATCTGGGTAGAAAGAGTTATATTTTAGTTTATTAAGTTATACTGGCTATTTTATTTGCATCTTGATCAGATTTTAAAGTCTAGATTGATCTTTTCCATATGTTTGTTCCATCGCATGATAAAACAACAACGAAATATCTCTCCAAAGCGGGTGAAAATATAGTGGGAAATCGATGTTTAGATAAATTTAACAAATATTTATATAACCTAGCACGAAATATTAAGAAAAGACAAAGAGATTCAAGAAAAAACACTTTAAAAACCCTAAAATTCACTTTTCGCTATGTAAAAATATAGAAATTGTTTTGTTTTTGCATAATAAGCCTCGTTCTCGTGCAGTATGAAGGCGCGGCCACTAAGTTTCGCAATTGGTCTATAATCGAGAAAAAAAATATCATGCAAAAGAGAGCGCTCAAAAAAAAAATTCTACATGTAAATCTACTGACGTTCTTCACTTCAATATTGTGTCCACAAGCTTGCAAGATTTTGCATTTTTGAGCAGGCACATTTGCTTAAAAGAGCACGGGGTAAACAGTGGACAACATCACAGGGATTCTACCGCCTTTGGACTTTGGAACCTATAACATACGATAGCCTGTGGCGTTCCCTGGCAAAATTGTTGCCCCCCCCTGAGAAAATCTGGGCTTAAGATATGTACAAGTTTATAAGTTATTTATACATATCTAATATGCATGGTAGAAAAAGTATTTTTGGATGATTGAATCTGTGTGCGTTTTTTCATAACATAGCTCCAAACTATTAAAGTTTCAAAGGCCCATCTACAGGATGCAAGTTGAACGTACTGTATATACGATGATTTTAATGCGAAAATGCCAGTTTAGAGAGGCTAGATTTTAAAAAATTTCTGAAGAGGATGCAACCCGATCCCCAACAAGCTATCTGTATGAACGATTGAAAAGCTACAGAGCGATATTTGGTGGAACCATATAAGATATCTATGGGTGGAACATTGTTGTTTCGGAGGGCAGTTAAAAATCGCATTATTGAAATTTTGTTTTATTACATATTAATCAAAGCTCATTTTGTGATTTTCCCTTGTTTAAAATAAAGGACAGTAAGTGTTCCTTAGGCTTAGTACAGCAAAGTTGTTGGACGAATCCATGGCTGAAAACGTAGGAAATAGCATTTCCGAGGTTCAAATTTTAAAATTTCCTCGGGGGAGCATGCTCCCGAACCCCCAAGGTTACAGGTCATTCATATACTGTACCTTCCCCATTTTCGAGTACTGTACTCTATCCCTGCATGTTTTAGGTTTTGATGCAGTTATACATTTTTTGTAAGTAAACCTGCATGCTTTAGTGTGGGGAACATTAAGACATATCCATATAAAATAAAGCACAGTAACAATTCCTTGGCCCCTCTTGGAATTCAGTTCTCGGCCTTCTCTGACTGAAAACCCCGGCTACGTCTCTGACGATAGCTATATGAAAGCCCCAAAAAAATATTCTGCCGCGAAATATATTGGGGGAAAATATCTTGCGCTGCACTTTTACAGGAAAAAAGTATCCGTCTTGTTCCCCTGGGCGGAAAAAAATTTCTTGCACAGTCTGAATCTTCCACCTCCCCCCCCACAAAAAAAAATCAAATGGTCCGCCCCTATATACGATACGATATCGATATATATATATATATAAACGATACCTGATTCATCCGGTACCGTGTAAAGGCCTGATTCCACGAGGCGGAATTTTTCGACCGAAACGAAATTTCTCTTTGTCTTTTTACAATTAGTTCTGCTCGAGAGCTCATGAAACAAAGAGAAATTTCGATTCGGTCGAAAAATTTCGCCTAGTGGAAAACCGCCTTAAGGCCGTTTTCCACTAGGCGGAATTTTCCGCGCGGAGCGCAATTTCTCTTTGTCTTTTCTAATTAGTTCCACCCGAGAAATCACAAGACAAAGAGAAATTCCGCTCCGCGCGCAAAATTCCGCCTAGTGGAAAACAGCCTTTAAAGCCTGTTTTCCACTAGCGAATTTGTTCGCGCGAATCTTTTGTAGTTATGAGCTCTCGGATGGAACTAATTAGATTTTTAAGCGCGAAGAAATTCGCTAGTGGAAAACAGGCTTAAATTAACTGGGGCCTAAATCACACGTATATATATAGGCAATCTGCCACCTGCAAAAGCGCTTCCCTCAACCCTCGTCGAATTTATATCGTCGTCATTCATTTTAATAGGCAAACCGCCAAAAGATAACAGTATATAAAATCGCAGCTGGATGAGAGAACCCAAGCCCCAAGCACTGTTGCTTTTCAGTGTTTCCACTTGTAGCGAATTTTTCCAAATATGAACTTTAATTTACAAACTTGAATTTTGGCGGAGATTTGACACCTTCATCCGCCAAAATTCAACTTGCGAATACGAACTATAATGTTGCGAATACGAACTATAATGTTGCGAATACGAACTATAATGTTGCGAATACGAACTATAATGTTGCGAATACGAACTATAATGTTGCGAATACGAACTATAATGTTGCGAATACGAACTATAATGTTGCGAATACGAACTATATATAATGTTGCAAATACGATCTTTAATTTTGGCGGAAATATGACGCCATACCGACCTAGGTCAGATTTAGGTCGGCCCGTTTTTGACGATCTCAATTTTGACGGTTTTCGAGGGCTTCAAAATGGATGCCGACAAAGGAAAAAGGTTGCTTCGCGCGAAAAAATTCGCTAGTGGAAAACCGGCTTAATAGAGGGTAATAAAGCGCATTTAGGGGCGGACCATTTAATTTTTAAGAAAAAAATATCATGCAACATATAATCGAGAAAAAAAATCATGCAAAATAGAGCGCTCAACGTTCTTCACTTCAGTATTGTGTCCACAGACTTGCAAAATTTTTGCATTTTTGAGCAGGCACATTCGCTTAGAAGAACACGGTGTGAACATTGGACAACATCACAGGGATTCTACCGTGGCGTTCTCTGTCAAAATTGTTGCCCCGAGAAAATCTGGGCTTAAGATATGTACAAGTTTATAAGTTATTTATACATATCTAATATGCATGGTAGAAAAAGTATTTTTGGATGGCGTTTTTGATACATACTGTAGCATACTGTAGCTCCAAACTACATAGGCCCATCTACAGGATGCAAGTTGAACGTGCTGCATATACGATGATTTTAATGCGAATTCGAAAATGCCAGTTTAGAGAGTATAGATTTTAAAAAATTTCTGAAAATGATGCAACCCGATCCCCAACAAGCTATCTGTATGAACGATTGAAAAGCTACAGAGCTATATTTGCATGGTGGAACGTTGTTGTTTCGAAGGGCAGTTAAAAATCGCATTATTGAAATATTGTTTTATTACGTATTATTATATAAAGTATAGTGCTTTATAGAGATTTCGAGCACTGATAAAAGTGATAATCTCACATGTGAGATTATTCATGATAATCTCACATTTGAAAATTATCGTTTTTCAATTATCGCTCTTTTGTAAAAATTATCGCTTTTCAAAGACTGTCCTTTATATAATAAATAGAAAAATATATGGGTGCTTGTAAATACCTGATTTATTTCTCGTGTTGAACATGATATCGAAATAAATCTGGTATTTCCGCGCACCCATGTATTATTCTCTATTTAATCAAAATATTATTAATTTTCCTTTGTTTAAAATAAGGACAGTAAGTGTTCCTTAGGCTTACTACAGCAAAGTTGTTGGACGAATCCATGGCTAAAAACGCAGGAAATAGCATTTCCGAGGTTCAAATTTTAAAATTTTCTCGGGGGAGCATACCCCCGAACCCCCCAAGGTTACAGGTAATTCATATACTGTACCTCCCCCATTTTCGAGTACTCTACGCTATCCCTGCATGTTTTAGGTTTTGGTGCAGTTACACATTTTTTGTAAGTAAACCTGCACGTTTTAGTGTGGGGAACATTAAGACATAACCATATTAAATAAAGCACAGTGAAAATGGCGCCTCTTGGAATTCAGTTCTCGACCTCCTCTGACTGAAAACCCCGGCTACGTCTCTGACGATAGCTATATGAAAGGGCAAAAAAAGGTATCCTGCCGCGAAATACATTGGGAAAAAATATCTTGCGCTGCATTTTACAGGAAAAAATATATGTCTTGTTAATTCCCCTGGGCGGAAAAAAATTCTTGCACAGTCTGAATCTTCCACCCCTAAAAAATCAAATGGTCCGCGCCACTTAAACAAACACATTTAGGCCTACTATAGGCTAATGACTCGGCAAAATTACCAAACAACAGTCGGCAAAAGATCACTCACCGCCCCCACCCCCACTAATATAGGGTTATAGTGCCGCCCCTGTACAAAATGCATTGATTCATATATTCGTACTTAAATTAACTAAGTTACAGTAGTTATTAGTTGTTAGTTAAGTTAATTACTAATTATGAATAATTTTAAAAACTATATTTTCAAGGTTATATCGTTTGAAACCCTTGCGAAAGTTATCGTCCTTACTTCTGTATGATCAGGGAGGCTGTAGTCACAACCATCCAGGTATCGGTGATGTCAAGTTTGTGAAAGATCTGAGAAGCAATAAAATTGTGACTAGAAACTTTCAATGTTCGAGATTTGGAAGTCACTTTACTAAAAATCTTGGATGGGTAGGTTAATTCCTGAAATTGTTGATATATCTATTGGTAAACCACACGCTACGTCGCAAAAGTATTTCCTTTTATACCGACGTAATTTACATATATATCAATAATAACATCGGTATATTTATTGACGCAATGACACCTTGTCTGAACGAGAAAATTAAAGACCAGGTGTTGAGAAAAGACTATAAAGTCGTTTTATGAAACGCAGTATCCTGAAATTACTATTAACAATGAAAAATATGGACGCTTCAAAATGGCTTCGTGTGTGACTTTATTCGTTTTCTCGATCATTATCTGCTTAGAATAAAACACAATGGTAGAATATAAACTCTTTCACCAGTTTTAGATTTAAAAATAGTTTCTGGTTGGCTTTGTCTTCTCTGCAAAAATTGCTAAAATGAAATGTAAAACGATAATGCTTGGATTGAAATTTTAGTGGCTACTTTTCACTTTACAAGTTTCGAAAACACAATACAGCGTGACCGTCACCGTATGCTATACATTAAAAATATGACACATCAAAAGAAAAACTACGGTACAATCTAAGATATTGTAATATAAAATTATTCAAAATGAAATGAATAAAATTACAAATTGCTTGAACGCCATTAATAAGCTATCTATAAACACTGAAAAAACAAAATTTATTCTTTTCAGAAACTTAATAATGGTTCAATAAACATTTCAATCAATAATAACAATATAAGACAAGTCAAAAACATCACATTTCTAGGAATTGTTCTTGACCAATTTCTGACATGGAGTAATCACTTGCAATTGGATTTTATTACAAAAAAAATTATCAAATGTGCAGCAATTATTTCCAGGATTCGACATTTCACAAACCTAAATTCCTTAAAACTAATATATTATGCTTTGTCCATCCATATCTAACTTATGGTAATTTACTCTGGGTTACCACCTATAAATCACGTTTTCTAAAGTTAGTGAATATTCAATACTCAAAAAAAAAATTGGTCAGATTAATGACTTTCAAATCTTATTTCGATCACTCTGAACCAATTTATAATGACTTACAAATACTCAATTTAGATAAAATAAATTATTATTTAACGAGTATATTCATGTTCCGATATTTTCATCTACAGAATTTACCAGAATTATTGATAAACTATTTTTTGACAAATAAGCAAACCATACACAGTACTAAAATGCGGTGCGCGCCTACAAATAAAACTTTCGGCGTTTCCGCCTACATGCACAAGTAAAATTATGTTTAGCACGCTACAGTGCTACACATTCTCCTGTCGGCCGCCAGTTGGTCCGTACGTTAGAACCAAAACTGCGTTTTAAAGCCTTAAAATAAAATATTTTGAGCTCAAAATACTATCAAAATGAGGAGAAAAGTGAGACGAATCCACTGACATACGCGGCCGAAAACGAGAAAACCGCAACAATTCCGAACTGCATTTTTAATTAGTTTAATAATTTTGAGCGATTTGTCAACCATACAATTTCGTTATTTTGAAGGTTTTAATGTGCAGTTTTAATAATATTAAAACTGCACATTAAAACCTTCAAAATATAATCCCCGAGCCGGCGGCGCGAAGCGCCGTGCGAGGGTACTAATTCCCCCCGGCTATTTACATCCGGGGAAACGAAAGCATTAGCGGAGTCTAAAGTTCATCAAATATCGCGGGCGCATGGTTCACCGTTCATGGGTGGTCATCCCAGTGAACTCCACTATATACTGGAACGATAACTGCTGATAAACATGCCCATACTTGCCTGAAGCCAAGATGGCGGAAATTGAAGCTCGTTTTGTAGGTATAAAACACGCGTGATTTTTGCGTGGGCTCTGTCACGAGGAGTCGGAGCGGGAAAGTGTGTTATATAATTTCACAAGTAGGATTCAAAGACCAAGAAATTTCGGGGTTTTTACTTGAAATGCATAAGATTTTTGAACTATTTTAACAGCAATTTTAATACAAAGTATATTTCTTGATAATAAGATGTAATCAATCGAGTATTAAAGTTTATATTTTATCGAGCGACATCGTTTTGTCTTATAAATATACTGACTGAAAAGTCAAACGTTCCAACAGCAACGAATTGGTTCAGTTTGGGCTATATTTGTGGACTCAGGGCGACGAATCAATAATTAAAAGATAGGTATTGTATTATTTTACTCTTATTTTACTCTTATTTGCTATAACTATTGATTTTTGAACAAGATCAATCTGCTTAAATGGTGCCTGTCACTGGACATTCCATTCTGTATGATTGTAGATATAGATAGATAGAAAAATTTTATTTACCCACTCTAACCCTGTTAACCGAAGCTGATTTCCACAGGGGGCATGTAGTGCTTCCCGTATGTGAAGAGACATAATATATAATATTTGTCTGCTGCCACTTTATTAGATTTACTTGGTGGTCATCTGCGATCATATTCATATCTTACTTGTGCACCTACTACCTAGCTCGTGGTCTGCAAACACAGATTTGTTGCCATCCAGGAGAAAATGATGACAAATTTCCAGAATCATTTTGCTTTTTAGGTTCTTCATGTTGTTGATGCTGTTGTCTTTCTGGCAAACATATATACAGCTTGAAGATATGTTCACAGTGTTCAATTATAGTGTAAACATACTTTGATTTGTAGTGTACTTGTTATGGTTAAATTAACCCATCAAGTGCCAGCGCTATCCCCTTGACAAGTGAAATTGTCTGGCGTTAGAAAGAGTCTGGCGTTAGACAGAGTAAAATAGTAAAGTAGCGTGCAATGTGACTCAATGGGTTAACTAGACACATGGGCAGATAGGCTAGTTAACCCATTAAGCACCAGCGCTATTCCCTTGATGAGTAAAATCATCTGGAGTTAGACAGAGTAAAATAATAAAGTAGGGTGCATCAGGGCGCAATGCGACTCAATGGGTTAATTTCACAATTTGGTTCTATTCTGTGCCCTTTACAAGGGCCTTGTAAGGAACAATTGCCACTTGTGATATACAGTAGAACTGTTTGTAATGTTACTCTGAGTGTGTATCCACACCAGGCAAGCTTGAAAAATGTGCCTGGCCATGGTGGGAATCGAACCTACGACCTTTGGAATACCAGTCCAAGAGTAACACCCAGAGTAACATTGCAAACATCACATTCACCTGAGTACACAACACCAACACAGTAGAACAGTTGTTAACCCCTTTAAGTGACAATGCACCCTGATGCGCCGTACTTTAGTATTTTATTCTGTCTAACGCCAGGTGATTTTATTTGTCAACTGGAGAGTGCTGCCACTCAAAGACAATGGGTTAATGGGCATTCAGGCCAATTGTGGAAGTGGTCATTGAGTACTTACAGTTTGTGCAGTTTGACTGTACATAGTTTTACTGTAAATATATATGTGTATTTTATGCCTGGTATGGTCAAATGTTGTCGGTATGTAATTTATTTAAAAAATACTATATATTTATCCATGTCAGGTGATGTGTAATACAATTATTGCAGTAAGGCTTGATTAATACATTGTTGCAAAAATAAACACTTGCCTGTGAAATTAAATTTTTGGCTTATTTTCTTTGTTACTGATATAATATTCATTACTTTTGCACTTGTGAATTGTACAGTTAACTGGCATGTTATTTTTTCCTTCTGAAAGGAGATAGCTTTTGTTTTTCACTTTAGAAAATGATTTTTTTCTTAAAATTTCAGAAAAAATTTGTTCTCTGACAGGTGAAAAAGGACTGGGGAGAGTTAAAATTTATTGAAAGATTTGTTTCTGTTTTTGCACGAAAATACTCATTTTTAGTGATACATACAGACCTGCCAACTCTCACTGATTTCCCGTGTGACTCACGAATTCAGGCATTATCTCACGGACTCACGGAAACATTTTCAAATCTCACGGATTCACGACTTTGAAATTTTAACCACCACTACACAGTAAAAACAAATTGGTTAAAATGACAAAAAAAAATTGGTCGTTTGAATGCGTCTGAGACAACCAGTTTAAATTGGTCGTTTTAACCAAAAAAGTAATTGGTCAAATTGACCATTTATTTAGTTGGTCAAATTGACCAATTATTTATTGGTCAAAACAACCGGAAATAATTGGTTGTTTTGACCAATAAATAAATGGTCAATTTGACCAATTAATTATTTGGTTAAAAAGACCAATTTAAACTGGTTGTCTCAGACGCATTCAAACGACCAATTTTTTTTGGTCATTTTAACCAATTTCAAATGACCAAATTAAAATTGGTTAAACATTTAAATTGGTTAAAATGATCAAAATTGCTTTCCATTTCGCCATTAAACCATTCAAAACGTGCTTGAAAAACAATAATTTATTAACAAATAAATATTAAGATTAAAATACAAAATCAATATACAGTATATGCAATATAATAACTTATAGGGATGAAACGTCACACGAAACCTCTCTGACTGTAAATATTTCTACAATATTTACTCGTCGAAGGCTATCAAGTCATATAGCCAAAACTTGTGAAAATAAATATTTACACGCATGCATGCAGTCAGAGAACCATTTCATATTTCACAGCGGACTCCGTTTGACCGTAAATTCTAGAGCCAAAGGGGCGGGATTACAGTTGGATTTAGAGAAATGTGGCGGATAAACAAGAAAGGCCGTTGTTTTCAAAACGGAAAGCCCATTTCTGCAAACAGAGATGTAATATTGTAGACGAAATCAAATTTTAGATTTTGTTGATGTAGCGATGAACTATATTTGTAATGTGCAAGTCAGGAGAAGCAAATGCGAAGGCCTTTATCGTGATATTTTTCTCCTTCTCTAACAATCCTTTTATTTGAAAGTTGAAGTAAGACGACGAGAAATCAACTTCCGTGTCGTCAACTTCGGTTGTAAGACGTGCATGTTTCGAATCCATCGTAAGAGAAACTCATTAGATTTTCTTCTATCATAAAAACGAGCGTTGCTCTCTTTGCAGCATAATAGTCGTAAATAATTAACTTTCACTATGGACATAGTTATCGACAACTTTATTTAGCAAAAACAACAATGGCAACGAAGTGCATGGCACGCATTAAACGACTTCTATCTATTGCGCGCCAACTGTAATCCCGCCCCTTAGAAATATTGTCATTGTCACAGCCCAACGTGCTTTGCGAACGCATGCTGCTAGATCATGTTGTTTTACTTGGAGAAGATGGGTTGATCTTTGTGATTGATAATTTTGGAGGATGATATGGAAGTTGATTTGTCAAATAAAAGGATTGTTATAAAAGGAGAAAATATAACGACAAAGGACTTCGCATTTGATTCTCCTGGCTTGCACATCACAAGTAGTTCATCACACTTAGAGTACATCAACAATCTCCCAATAAAAAACAGTTCCCATAATACCAAGGATGGATTTTGGATTTTTGGTGGAAATAGTGGGGGAAGTGGAAATAAATTTAGGGAAGGTGAAGCACTTAACCCATTGAGTGACAGCACTCTGACAAGTGAAATTGTCTGACATCCAAAGTGGGGCACATTGCCACTTGAAGGGTTAGTAGCGTGCATGGACAGATAGTTTGATTAACACATTGAGTGGTGGCACTCTCCCCCTGACAAGTGAAATTGTCTGACATCTAATTAGACAGTAAAATAATAAAGTGGGGCACATTGTCACTTGAAGGGTTAGTAGGGTGTATGGACAGATAGTTTGATTAACCCATTGAGTGGCAGCACTCTCCTCCTGACAAGTGAAATTGTCTGACATCTAATTAGACAGTAAAATAATAAAGTGGGGCACATTGCCACTTGAAGGGTTAGTAGGATGCATGGGCAGATAGTCTGATTAACCCATTGAGTGGTGGCACTCTCCCCCTGACAAGTGAAATTGTCTGACATCTAATTAGACAGTAAAATAATAAAGTGGGGCACATTGCCACTTGAAGGGTTGATAGGGTGCATGGACAGATAGTCTGATTAACCCATTGAGTGGCGGCACTCTCCCCCTGACAAGTGAAATTGTCTGACATCTAATTAGACAGTAAAATAATAAAGTGGGGCACATTGCCACTTGAAGGGTTAGTAGGGTGCATGGACAGATAGTTTGATTAACCCATTGAGTGGCAGCACTCTGCCCCTGACAAGTGAAATTGTCTGACATCTAATTAGACAGTAAAATAATAAAGTGAGGCACATTGCCACTTGAAGGGTTGATAGGTGCATGGGAAGATAGTCTGATTAACCCATTGACTGTCAGCACTCTCCTCCTGACAACTGACAAGTAAAATAATACAGTGGGGAGCATCCAGGCTGCTGGGCACATCGCCATTTAAAGGAGTGACCTTAAATTTATGAGGCATTAACCATATATATTTGGATAATAATACCATGAATCTGGCTGGATATTTTCAACTATCCAACATACTATATCGTGTACATATCTGGCTGGATAGCAAAAACTATCCAACCTATCCTGTATCCAGCAGGATAGCAAAAAAGACTCTATTCTCTACACCCCTTCAAAGAACTTAAAGTAGGTAACATTTAGAAGAGGAAATTGTTTCTTAGGTGTTAATACTTAAAACGTGAAATATGGGCAAGCACTCCACCATCGAGTTAAATATCGCAGTAGTTAAAGTGGGGAGTGTTAGGTAAAATATTTGCATCTAAATATGTCAACATGAAACATGGGCAGAGTCTAGCTAGACACTTCCCTGGACAAATAAAATTGTCCGGCATTAGTTAAAATAACATTTAATTTTAACAAAGTGCTGAAAATTAGGCTTATTGGAGTATTATTATTCATGCATTTTTAGGACTTAACTGTCAATAAATCAAGTTGCCATATAACACATCAAATTGACATTTTTATCTAAACCGACCCACTTATCTGTATATATATATATATATATATATATATATATATATATATGACAGACCTGCCAACTCTCACGGATTTCCCGTGTGACTCCGAATTCAGGCATTATCTCACGGACTCACGGAAACATTTTCAAATCTCACGGATTCACGACTTTGAAATTTTAACCACCACTATAGACTTTAAAATTGGAGTGATTGAAGTGAAATGAAACTAGCCATTGACGGTAATTCTAATTTGTAAAAAATCCCCAACACAATTTATTTACTCATTCCTAAAGTAGTCTAACTACTCCGCCATTTTGAATAATCTAAGCGGTATGCTCCATTATTGTATCGTTTTAGTAAGTAAACTGTTGAGTTAAAGTTTTATTTTGGAGGACAGTAATTAAAAATTGCTATGTCACGAACATAGATCAGTCATCTGCAGGCAATGATTACAGTAATCGTCTTATCCAGAATTACCCCAGATTTTCAGTATTTTATCTCCAGAATTAAGGGTCAATCTCAAGAAACTTTCGATCAGATCTCCAGATTTGTTGCTGTTGGAGGTTGGCAGGTCTGTACATAGCCTACCTAAAAGGTAAAAAATAAATGAAAAAGTAAGATTGATGTTACTTTAGTCCATATTCGCTGTGTTCTTTTCAAATTCCTCACCGAAAGTCCTGAAAACACAAAAGTTTGCCGATGTTTCTTGGCGGCTTTTTTGCTGAACTTGTTTTTCACTCATCAAATAAGTTGAGATAAAATGACAAAATGTTTCTAAAATTTACTTCTTCTGAAAGACCACTTTCTCTAGTTCGCTAGAGGCGTAGAAAAGCTCGACTTTCAAACAATTGGCTGAAAAATTATGAAGATTTCCCATAAAATGATGAACATTTTTCATACGGAATTTAGTAAATTTCCGCGTAGGGGCCTGGATCATACCTACAAAACGAGCTTCAATTTCCGCCATCTTGGCTTCAATTTTTGAGCCGCAGTTATCGTTCCAGTATATAGTAGAGTTCACTGGGTCATCCTCACTGATCTCAAAATATAGCGGACTGTCGTGAATAGCGAACACTGATTGGTCAAATTTAAAATTTGTTGTTGTGAGATGAACTGACGACTTCAACTGACAGATACTTCATGAAAATAATTTGCTTTTTGCACTGCAGTATTTTGTACGTTTGCAAAAAACTTTGACAGCTTTCAAAGCAATTTGCTCTATAAAGAGTGTAATAAAACAATTATGGTATCAAATACCAATTGAAAAGATATGGACTACGATATGGAGCCAAATGAAGAGCGGCAAGGAAACGACAAGAAAGCCGAACGTCTCGCGAAAAGGAGGGAGCCAGCGAAGACGACAACGTTTGCTCGAGGAGACTGCTGAGGAAAGAGAAGCTCGCCTGGGAAAGCGTAGAGAAGCATGGAAAAAAAAGACTGCTGAAGCGAAAGGTATTAAAGCAAAGGCTTGTCTTCACAACGCTATGTACCAATGATACTGTAGCTATACAAGTTTAAGTATGATATTCGACCCTCTATATTCGACTATTTCTTCACAATTTTCCAATAAAGAGTTTGTCATGACACGCTCAAGTCAGTATAACCAGACTGTATTTTATTTATATCAGTTATCAAATACCGTCGGTGGCAACTAAGGGTGAACAGTTGCAGATACAACATTCTCTATTCTCATTAAAAAGCCTGTAAAAGTTTCCAGTAGGTCTCTAGCCCAACAAGTTCAGACAAAGTTTTGTTACTTATTTTTATTGCACACATGGGAAACAACAATTAAGTGTTGTTGTTCTTGACAAACATTGAAGATTCTAATCACGCGAATGTTTTTATGAGCGACTGTTCATCGTTAGTTGCAAACGACGGTACAATATACTATGAACATTTTTCCGACTGTGACCGAATGTGCAACGATATATTTTTCAAAGTTGTTAACAATTCCTAAAATTTGTTTATAGTAAAACAGCCTGCTCAGCACTCACTACTCACGATGATTTCATTTAGAAATGCAGTTACCAGGAAAGGAACTGATTCTAAAATATGTAAAATTAAAAGCTTTGGCTATTACGATGTGAAGACAAGGTACAAACTTTTATAGTTGCTATTTGTTATAAATCCTATAAATAAA